TCAGCTGTGGGATAAAAAGAGCTGCTAAAAGTATAAACAACTGTGTTAAATCATTTTCATTTATTCAGAAGCCGCAGCGCTGCGCACCGTTTTTTTTACATAGATACACCTTATAATGTAAACAATGATCCTGTGTTTTTTTTTACATCACTCCCCAAATTATTCCATAGTTTTATTCCTTGAATTAAAGTACATTCCTTCAAACTAGTTCTGAATTTGGGCTTTACAAATATCTCTGTCCCTTTAAGGCTATAACAACTCTTGCTCTGTGCTGGAGCAAACCATGCCCCAGCATAAGTCAACAATACATCGACTAACAACTGCACAACAAACAAAGCAGCCTCCCTGCTCCTCACCTCCGTGCTTTCCTTTTTCCCATCCAGCTGTCCCCATCCTGTCGCCTGGTTCTGCTAGGCTAACTCAGCCATGTAATGCTCATATGGCATCTTTATTTGGCAGCCACATGGAACAGCTTCAGCAAAGACACAGGTTAGTCCCTGTGATCTGTCTTTCTTCTTTTCTGCTTCATTTATCAGCCCAGATAATTACAGAAGATTAATTAATAAACACAAGATAAAGAGATCCAAGAAAAGTGAGAACCGCGATGCAAGCACCAAATATGTCACAGCGAGACTATTTTTAGGCAACAGATTACACTGTCGTTTGAAGGTGAACTTCACAAAAACTCACTGTGAGAAAAAGGGGCAGAACAGGCCACATTAACCCGGGTGCTGAGCACCAAACAACGCACTACATCTTTGTGACAATGACGAGGTAATTGTTGACACTTTGCTTTTCTTGTCAAGCATCTGTTCACAAAGAAAAGTAACAGACAATGAAAACAAAAAGGAGAAAAAAATATTTCATTAATCCTACTTCTGTAATATTTTTGCCCATTTCCTGAACCAGTTCCCGAGACAAGTCAATTTTACAGATGACTGCTGTCCTTCAGTGGCTATACCAAACAACAATCAACCCCATAACACAAGGAAAACAAGCACAATGATAGTAGAGAAACCGTGAAGAAAAAAAAAGAAAGGATTTAAAAGAAAGCAGAAAAGTGCCAACAGGGCAGCAGCATCCGTCAGTCTGACACGTAGTTGCCCCTTCCTCTGTCACTGACTAATAGCAGGACTGTCTGTTACAAATTGCCCCGTGATTCACTCTGGATGACACCAGACTGAGAAATCTGGATTGAGTGGAGAGGCACAAAGGGACGGAGGTTCAGTCCACGGCGACTTTATCAGGATCAAAGGTCTGTCATGGTGACAGAGACTTAAGAGATGCAGGTAATAAAGCCAATCTTCAGGAGGTATAGGTGGTGTATTGAAACATTTATGCTTTAGTCGATCCACAATATTTAGTCTTTTACCAAAAAGGAAAACGTTAAAGCAGGATTTCACTTTACAGCCCCTGATGCACACATTGGACTGCACCAGTAAAGCTACTGAATTAAGCGTGTCATCAGAACGCATAAAACCCTTTGCATTTACTTTAGGATATCAGCCACATTAATTAGGGCTGTGTATTGACAAGAATTTGGCGATATGATACATATGACAGAGGGCTCACGATACGATATATCCCGATATATTTCGATACTGTAAGCAAGGCGATATATTGCGATTTTTTGTCCAAAAATTCTATTAAATAAAAACCTC